TTCTGCATCTTAACTGTGACCACCTTGAAAGTCTTTAAAAAAATTATAATGCTAAAGAGCATAAAGTTTCTATTATGAGAAAAAATATTAGTTTTTAAAAAAAAGTTGATTCTCTTCCCCAATTCTGGATTCTACATTTTATCCTTTATTGTTTGGTGAGAACAGAGTTAGAGTAACAACCTTTTTTTCATCGAAGAGAAACCTCTAGGATTTGCTGTGGAGAGGCATGGTAATATGAAGAATTACTGTGGGTGTCCCTGGAAGCCCTTGTTAAAATTCTACCTGTAAGTGTGAATTAGGGTTGGAATTTACTTTTCCTGCTCTCATAGAGTCCATCCCATTGGGGCTCATACAAATACTTAAGATCATCAAGGAGTTTGCTTTTATAATAAGCCAGGCCATAGTGCTGGTCCTGGGGTTTATATCAGATTAAAGGTGAACAACTGAGAAGCCCTTTCTTAGAACAATGGCAACATTGGTGAGGCAAATGCAGCTCACTAAAGTTGTAGCCTACTACAGTACGAGAAAATATGTAGCTATTGTACAGCAAAAACATAACATCTAGAAAAAAATTGTATAACAAAGTTCCAATTGTCTACAATAATTATGAAATGTTGTGACACGCTTTCTGAAACCAGAAGAAAAAAAATTCACTGAAGTTTAATATTACACAGTTCCTCAAACAAAACAAAATATACACCTGACATGATCTCTCTGTGGAATAAAAAAAAATCCCTTTACAAGTACTGTATTAATATAGACCCGAAGAATACTTTGTTTTTCCTAGGGAAAAAATAAAGGCAAATACTATACATGTAAATAAACCAATCATTAAAGCAGGGATCTCGAACTCAAATCACCATGAGGGCCACATGAGGATTAGTACATTGGCCCGAGGGCCGCATCACTGAAACCTTTTCATACAATGATACAAAAGTATAGTCAAAAATGAAATAAAATGAAGAGTAATATAGTATGCTATTAAAAGTCAATGAATTAACTTTTTTAAAACTGTAATGCAAAGAGGTGTTTTAATAAAATATAAACACCTGTAACTATTCCTTATGTAGTCACTAACACTTATGACGATCTACACCAGGGGTCTCAAACACGCGGCCCGTGGAGTTATTTCCTGCAGCCCACCATAGGCGCTGACTCTCTCCCGCACAGAGTAACCCTTTCCACCCCCCGGTCACAGCGCAAAGTCAAGAGGGAAACTGAGGCTCACCTAGGAATTATAAAAATGTTACAGAAAATTTCCACTTCGTCACAGACACTGTCCAGTGTCCCAACAGAGAGACCCCTGGCAATGGGGGGGAGGGACCCTCTGGGTGCCCAGCACTCCTAACAGAGAGACCCCTGGGCGATGGTGCCCGGTGCCCCTAACAGTCTATCACAGGGGTCTCAAACATGCAGCCCCACCCCCATTCCAACCCCTTCCCCAAATCCCTGCCCCTGCCCCGCCTCCTCCCCTGAGCGTGTGGCATCCCCGCTCCTCCCACCTCCCTCCTGGAAAGTCCTAAGCATCACCAAACAGCTGTTTGGCAGCGGGAAGTGCTGGGAGGTAGGCGGAGGAGCGGGGACGCAGCGCGCTGGTGGGAAGAGGAGAGCTTGGCTGTCGGTGGAGTCGGTGCCTATGGCGGGCTGCAGGAAATAACTCCGCGGGCCAGCCACGTGTTTGAGACCCCTACATTAAAGGGATCAAAACTAGAGGAAAGTCATGCTTCATACGACTTTTTTGCAGAAGGCATTAAAAACAAAATGTCAAACATTTTATGCGATTTGGTTCAACCAGTGGTTCTGCTTCTTGCTTTTAGTTCAACTGGTGGAAGACAGTCATGTAAATTAAAAAAAAAAACAACAAAAAAAAACCCTCCACTACATACAACAGAAGGCTCAGTTGTGTTTTAACTTCTTCCCTTTCTGCAGCTGTTCCCCAATTAATTCTTTCTACAGTTGAAAACTGAACCAGGTCTAGCCTATTCTAACATATGTTCTGACTCAGATACAGAAGAGCAACCACCACATGACGATTTCAAACATTTTTTGCACTAGAGCCCCTCTATCCTGGTGGAGTTGCATCACAGAAAACTGTTAAGAGATAGGCGTTCTGAATTAAAGTCCAAGTTTATGGTGAGAGGTGAGGATGTTAAGGAGGGAAGTTATAGGTAACAAGGGGAAAAAAGATTCCCATGCTCTCTTAAGCCTCACACAGTTGAATTAATCTACTGCTCTAAGCACACACAGCTGAACATGTACCACTTTATACATTTCCTAGACACAAGCCCATCCCTACTTCTCATGGACATGAAGGCCTTATACCTGTTTGGGACTTCAAAACAAAACCATTAAAGCCTCTAAGTACTGATGGGATTTTTTTTCTACGATTTGAAGAATCCAGGTAGATGACCAGATAGATTTTCTGTCCTCCAGGCTCCAATCACTATGTCTGTAAACTGAACATTTATGGTGTTGAAATTACATTGAATGGGAGGGAGAGGATAGGAAGCACCATTCATGTAGAATGAACAAAGGCCACTGACAATTAGTTTAAACACAGATATGTGTGTAAGCTCCCTCGAGACTGTTAAGAGAGCCATCTTTGGCTACTGGAGTGGTTCTCAGAGGCTCTTTCAAGCTTTGGACATTACAAATGTCTTGAACCATGTCAGTTGCATGGCAAAGTTTGTTCTTTATTAGTTAGTTTACTATATGGGGGTGTTTTTCACTCTCCTTTTGTCCAGAATACTGGATGTGTCTGAAATAACCATCTCTGGACTATGTGGGAGCTCCAGAATTCTATGACATGATCTTCCCTTGCTACTATCAGTGAATTGTTCAAAACAGTATGCTTACCAGTTGTCTTACACCACATAACTCACTCCTTACTATGGAGGAAGTTACCTGAGCAGAAAGAGAATGTCAGAACTATTTTCTCCCATACTATTAAAAGGTTGGGGATGATTCCTTTAATTCATGTTTGCAAAAAGGACAGTTGAGTTATTTGTTTTCAGGTCTCCATTAGATAGGTAACTAGCCAATATAAAAATTACCTTTTCGATTTCTGAGAGAAGGTGGTGAAGAGAAAGGTTTCAGGTATCTTGTCTGTATCTATGGCTATTTTATTTATGTACTGATTTTTACAAATGCATCTGCCACACTTTTACATAATTTTAGAAACAATACAAAATATGATGATGAATCTCCAAATATAATAAACCCAAGCCATAGAGCCCTGCAAATCTGCGGATAGCTGCTTTATATCAGTGGACCATTTTTGCGGATAGCAGGGCGGAGGCGGATACAAATTTTGTATCCGCGCAGGGCTCTGACAGTAAGAGCCAGGTGTGCAGCTGTGAGGAACCACAACATGGACCCTCCACCTGCCCTGGGCAGGGAGCCTGGGGGACAAGGACATGGGCTGGGGGCTGCTCCACCACACAGCTCCCCACAGCTGTCTGCCCAGCTGTTCCCGTGGCTGGATTGTGGCTCCAAGCCCCACCCCCCCCGCTGGAGCCGGAGAGCTGCGCTGGCAGCTGAGGGGGAGCCTAGGTCCCTCCACCTGCCCTGGGCGTGGGGCCTGAGCAGCCCCAGCCCGTGTCCCTGCCTCCCAGAAGTGCAGAATTTTGAGCACAGGTGTTGCGTGCTTGTTGTGATCCAGGTCACTGAGAAAGCAGGCTTCTACAATAAAGTCTCTAGGTCAGGGGTTCTCAAACTGGGGGGTCACGAGGTTATTACATGGGGGGAGTCACAAGCTGTCAACCTCCACCTCAAGTCCTGCTTTGCCTCTAGCATTTATAATGGTGTTAAATATACACAAAAAAAGTTTTTAATTTATAAGGGGGGGGAAATCGCACTCAGAGGCTTGCTAGATGAAAGGGGTCACCAGTAAAAAAAAGTTTGAGAGCCACTGCTCTAGGTTGCTTTCACAGTAATATAGAACATGAAGTGAAGAAAACAACTCAATTGGCTAAATCCTTATCTTACTACAACCTTTGGAACACTGGTGTCTTCAAAACAGAGTACTCTACAAGAATGAAGTGAGTTATCCATTTTAAAAAAAAAAAAAAAAAACCAAAAACCTGAAGCCGCTTTAAGGAATTTAGTTCTGTGAATTTTTTAAAACAACTAAGTAATAGACCTAAATATTTCCTGGCAATATAAACATGATGCAGATTAAGTCATGTTAACTGCTTGCTAATAATCTCACACTTTAGAATGAAAAAAAAAAAAAATCTTAGCAATTCAGGTTTCTAATGAATTTATTGTATAGAGATATTTGTATTGTATATTGTGCTCGGACCATGAAGACTACCAAATGTAGTGGTGAGCAGATTTCAGAAAGTAGATTCCAAGTGAAAGAGATCCAGGGAAAATTGAAGCTGTAGGTTCAGCTATTGGGCTGATGACTTTTATCAAGTCATTTTCCCCCCCACTATGTATCTAGAAATAGGAATTATGAAAAACAAAAGAGATGGTTCCTCGTAGCCAATTTGCTCTTTAAGTAGAGGGAGAGAAACAGAAATAACCTGTAGATTATTTTCACTAGATCTAGGGGCCGGGGTGAAAGCCTAGTCCCAATGAAGTTAAGGGGAGTTTTGCAATGGACTTCACAGGGGCCAGGATTTTATTTAGGGAATCCACAAATCCTACAAGGCATGGGCTGTGTTTACTCATTTATATAACTTCTAGCACACTGATTGGAGTATGGTCACTAGTGGAATACAAATAAAATAAGATGTCTCCAGCAGCTCGACTTTATGTATTGAAATCACATTGTGATTATTTCTTTAATAGAGTTGCTTCTAAATTATCTTTTGTAGTGAACAGGCAGCCATGCTACATCTCATTACTGTATTTTTAATATGCTGCATGACCAACCAACCAACAGCAACCCCTTTCTCTCAATCACATGTAAACAAACCCAGTGACAGAATAAAGTTTTAATTATACTGCTATTAGGAACACCAAGAAAAAAAAAATACAAAAGCCACACTCACCATCTGAATGGGTTTCTTGTGCAGATCTCTTTCGGTTACCAACTTCTCTTGATCAGTGACATAAAGACCTTTCTGTGCCAAGGCCTGGATAACAGCATCATGACCCAAAAGTGGTTTTGCAGCATCACTCTTGAGAATAAGACTTCCAGCACGACAGTAGAGTTCAGCAGATAGCAGCAAGTTAACAACAGGTGGTTTAATGTGTTCCTGGTCATACTGGTCTGTGTAAAATGGTTCTTGCAATTCTTCTGGAACATTTTCTATAAGAACCAAAAGATATAATCAGATAAACAACACTTCACAGTACTAGGAAAGGTACCTAATCTATACACACACTTTAATTATTTAAAGTTGTTAGCAGCTAGGAAGTATCCCTTTTTATATAACTATTTCTATATTATTTTAACACAAATCTATGGGGGACCCCATTACAGAATAAGAACTGAACAAAACAGTTAGCAAAAGTTACTTATAAATGTAATATTGTTAAACAAAATTAGGCCACAGATATTAGCTTGGGGAGAAAACCCAGAGGTTTTACATTGCAAAGCACAACATGGCCAAGATGTGGTTTTAAAGCAGCATTAATTCAAAATGTCTTGGCTTTTCCAAGTTTATGGTCAAACCTTCCTCCTTTTAATGTCATATATCATAGCTCATGCCACAAAGTCAAAATGATGTCAGACAGCTGTGATTCAACACAACAAGCTGTCTGTCTCACTCCAGAATTTTATGGAAATAGAACAATAATACGTTCTAATGTACATAACACTTCTGGAGAAAAAAAGAAAGCCACACCCATTTGCTAAAATATGTAAACGCTGTCTCTGGAACTGTGTGTAACTGACTTCCTTTTAACAGAGTGCATTTCTCATTCAAATGAATGGCTGCAGAGCCAACAAAAAGCTACACAAGAGTTTGTCAAATTATGCTGAGATTTTCACCCAAAATTGGCACAATGCTGTCTATTACAAGCTTTACAGGAAAAGCCATGACAACTTTTCCAAGTACCATATGCCAGTTATTACAGATGCATCATTCATGAAAGACATAAGATGTTTGAATCAAATAATAATATCCCATTTACAAGTATACCTGAACAGCTATAAAAGAATTCAAAATGTCATTACATCAAATCAAGTAATATTGGCATTAATATCAGATAGGACTTAGACCTTGCCTCAGGATTTCCATTCCCATATGTAAAAAGGAAAGCATTACAATGGCATTTGGTGATCGTCTACTCCAGGGGTCGGCAACGTTTGGCACGCGGCTCGCCAGGGTAAGCACCCTAGCGGGCCGGGCCAGTTTATTTACCTGCTGACGCGGCAGGTTCGGCCCATCGCGGCCCCCACTGGCCGCGGTTCACTGTCCCGGGCCAATGGGGGCAGCGGGAAGCCGCGGCCAGCACATCCCTCGCCAGCACCGCTTCCCGCCACCCCCATTGGCCCGGGACGGCGAACCGTGGAGAGTGGGGGCCCGCGATCGGCCGAACCTGCCACGTCAGCAGGTAAATAAACTGGCCCGGCCCGCTAGGGTGCTTACCCTGGCGAGCCACATGCCAAACGTTGCCAACCCTTGGTCTACTCAGAGAAGTGCAATCTCAGTCACCCCAAAGCACGCTAGACTGGTATCATTTGTGGGACAAGGGACCATATGTCCAGTCTTTGGACTGGAGTTTAAGTACCCATTCACTTGTGACAGGGAAGGGAGAAACAAGAGCCGGGAAGGGAGAAACAAGAGCCAAGAAGCCAAGGGCCAAGAAGAAACAGCAAAGAAAACTGCAGGCTTTTTCCAGCTTATGTGATGTGATAAGAAATACATGACTGGGAGTCTGAACCACCTGGCATTGCCCACAGTCGGAAGATAGGATACTGGTCTGGATGGACCACTGTTCTGACCCAATATGGCCATACTTATATTCTTAATCCACATGGGGGATGGGAGGGAGTGGGAACAACAGAATATCATGGGATTATCTTTTCATTTATAACACCAAGTCAAATTTATTCTATTATATAGTCAAAGTGCTTCCTTAATTAGCTTTTAAAGAACTACCATTCTTTTATCAATTGGTTACAGGAGGAGATAAGGGGTATAGAAGCCCGATGTTTTTCTAGATTTTAAACAAAATGTGTACTTCTTAAATGCCTCCCTCAGTCCCCCACCATGATAAAGGTAATGTTGGATGAGATGTTGCTTCTGATTTGCAGATTCTATATATCAAGAGGGAAGAGAAACTGTTTCTAATTTAATAAACAGAACAAAAAGTTACCATTAGCTAAAGTTTGGCTAGGAGTTTAACATTTTAGGCTTAAAATGCAGATCATAATGATTTGTCTGCAAAACTAATCGATGCCCTTTAAGAACATTTTAAGTCCACTGGCAAACAAAAGTTATCTCTTCACAATTAAACAATTATCTGTTGGCTTTCCCAATTTTAATCTAACTACTACCTTGCAAACAAAAAACAAAACAAAACAAAACAAAAAAAGGGGGTAAAGTTCTTTATGCCTTCCTTAAAAGATAGTAAGTCTCAGACCTACATTTATATAAATGATTTTGTACAATACTGATGTCTGAACATTTTATATATAGCACAATGAATCCTATTTGACTGAAGCTTCAGTTTAACTGTATACATTTGTTTAGTGTATTTTGAGTCATAATAGTTTCAAAAATGAAACAATATAAAAAGGGTCCTTACCACTGTGCTGTGATTAGTTTGATGTGTTAGCAGCACTGTTCGCTGCTCCAGGCCAATGGGGGCTGCGGGAAGCAGCGCGGGCTGAGGGATGTGCTGGCCGCCACTTCCCGCAGCCCCCATTGGCCTGGAGCGGCGAACCGCGGCCAGTGGGAGCTGCGATCAGCCGAACCTGTGGATGCGGCAGATAAACAAACTGGCCCGGCCTGCCAGGGGGCTTACTCTGGCAGGCCGCGGGCCAAAGGCTGCCGATCCCTGTAATATAGGATGCCATATTCATTTCTAGTTGTTGTGCTACTCTTTTTATCATTTCTAATGATTATTCTCTGCCCTAAAATGCATCATCTTAATAAATATATTTAAGCTGTCAAGGAACTTATCACCATTACGAGATACCAAATGAACTGTAAACTTTTACAGTTACTCTGATTGACACAATCACAAAATAATCCTCCTTCCTTAAACACAAAAATTAGGACATGACATCCTGCAGAACCTTTCATCTTAAGGCCATTTCTCAAAGACACCACACATGTTCCTTTCCCCATATGCAGCAATGTCCTCATGCTTTATAGCTTTTATTAGATTTATCTGAGATTTGCCCATGGAACCAGTGATTTCTTTAGCCAGGGGGAAGGGATTGCTCAATGGTTTGAACATTGGCCTGCTAAACCCAGGGTTGTGAGTTCAATCCTTGAGGGGGCCACTTAGGGAGCTGGGGCAAAAATCAGTACTTGGTCCTGCTAGTGAAGGCAGGGGGCTGGACTCAATGACTCTACAGGGTCCCTTCCAGTTCTATGAGATAGGTATATCTCTATAATTTAATTTAGCCAGCATAATTTTCTTTTCTTTTTTAGTACCAATATAAGATTGTTCTAGATTATAATGTGTTTTCATTAATATGAATAGTACACAATCAATTGAAAGAAAACCAATTTTCAAAGCAAGCCACTACAGGTGTGCACACATAAAGTCCAGACTGCATGCAGGCCATAGAAGCTCAGAATAAGCTCCCATTCTGGATAGCATATATGGCAAAATTTAATCCCATTTCCATAGATAACTGGCTTCAATTCAAGTGGACACTTTTTGAAGGTACAAAGCAACTAAAATAAATGCTCCAAATAAAGTAGAAACCAGATAAATTTGTTTACTGAAATACCATCAGAACAAGTATAATCACAGACACATACAAAATTACAAGAACACTGGGAAACTATAGAAAGAAGGAATTAACTGTTAGAACAGGATGAAAAGTGTGCCACTAAATCCAAGGATGGTTTTTGAGGAAACCCCCACTGAACAGGATTCTACTTCTCACTGACAGAAATGTATAAATCTTTTTTCTGGTGCAATGTATGTATTATAAGAAAACAGAAATCAGAACTAGTCTTGATAACAGATCAATGGATTTCAAGAGTTTTGCAGTTTGCCACCGATTAAGAACTGTGTCATAGACTATAAGCTAGATATAACTATTTCTTTCATTGTTTTCCTAAGACCATGGTCTTGCAATGGAGCTGTGTGCAGGTGGATTTATGGTCTGTGTAGAGCCTTGAAGACAATGGGGCTCCACACAGGCATAGCGGGCCATGTTTACATGGGGCGCCAAGTAGGACTGGAGTTTGTCTGTAAAACTGAAGTCCTACTAGATGTAGTAGGAATCTGATGCTAATTTTAGTAAATTAATACTTTTGCTTCCCCACACCTTGCCTCCAAAAGTATCTCAAGGTCAAGCTTTGAAGTTAATGAGTAGTTTCAAAAAAAGATGTGTGGTTATGCTCTGCTGCCCAAAAATACAGTTGTTCTTGAAACCAACACTGAAATATGCAGGACCTGTCCATTACATTGGGCTGGATTGACATATTGTCAGTAGGACACAGGTTTCATTTTTGGAAAGCACAAACCACAGGGAGAATTCCAATCTTGAACTTGGGTTTAGAGATTTCATCGGTCCTGGGCTACCAGGAGACCAGTCAAAACAAATACGCAAGCTCAACATACGATATTTTGTTTTTTGTGTTTTCCTTTCTGTTCTACTGCCCCAAAATGAAATTAACTGGCTTATTTCACTTCATTTACTTGGGTCCAATACTTTGATGATAGTGCTGTGGGTCATTCTGTTCTCTTCTATAATTTGTAATGGACTGAGGGAATGATCCTGCACACATTTATGCACATGCTTAACTTCACACACTGCAAGTAGTCCTATTATTTCAATAGGATTACTCACAGCAGCGAAAGATAAGCACACATATATTGTGTACACGGGATCCAGGCCTGAAAGATGTGTCTCTCTCATAAGACATGAAGATTTTAGTTAACCAAGATTTTTAATAGTTTAATCACGCTTTCCATTTTTAACCCACACATTCTCTTATTAGAGAGTACCTCCAGAACCTAAGATAATACCATAATGAACATTTCAGTTACAGGTTCACACACAGAGGTTACTCAATAGTTTCCTTCCCGCTTCATCAAAATTTTGGAGGAATACCCACTAACAACTTTTTTAAAGAAGTAAAATAAAAACAAGCTAACATTTTGGAATATAAA